TTTCTTTGTGTGATTTCAATGACTCATTGCACTTTGCCAACAGCGCTTCAAGGTTTGCAATTTTTTGACTCTGCTCTTCAGTGCCCTCGCCCGCACTCAAGTCGATCAGTTCACTTGACGAATCTCCCGAGGTGTTGATCAGTTCAATTTTCGTCTTTAATACTTTGATTTCCTCATCTCGTTCCTCAATCAGCACTTGGAGATTTTCTTCAAGGTGCCGTTTTGCCTCCTGCTCCAGCTGACATTGTTCTTTCAGCTCGTTGACCCTTCGCAGTGCTCGGTCTTGCGTCTCTCCGAGTACATTTTTCAGCTTATCTCGTTCTTCAATGGTCCCTCTGTACGCCTTCACCACCTCTCCCCATCGTTCTTTGTACTTTCGTCCGCGATCTTTTAGTTTGATGCACAGCTCAATTAGTTGCTCTTTAGAGACGTATTCAAGATTTCTGCCCGAGGACTCTGATTCGTACTCGCTTTCAATGTCTGACTGAGGCACAAGGTTGGATACCATGTTGGTGAAAAAGTTGGTGCGAAAGAAGGAGTCACTGTCGGCACTAGAGTGAACCTTCGATGATGTCGGGGTTGAGGTGTTGACTTGGGCCGGCGGTGGATGTGAGGGGGTCTGCGTAGTCTCCTCGTCGAGGTCCACTAAACTGAAGCCAGGCTCGGAGTATTGCAGATCGCCTTCGCTTTTGACCGAGTCATTTTTGCTGCTTTCACCTAAGGTCGTCATGTCGTTCTTTGAGCCACTCCTAGAGAGTTCTCCCAGTAGTTTGTTGTCATTTATAGTGTTAGCTATATTGCTGATGGTCCCATTGTTTACCTATTAATTAGAGTGATAAAGATTAATTAAAAATATTTCCGGTAATTAGTTTAATTGTTTAAAAACATACGATCAAGTTCTGGGCTTGTGTTTGAATGTTTACTTTAGCCTTTTCATATTCATTTGAAACCTTCTCTTTAAAAGCTTTAAACATTTTTTCTTGCTTAAATTGATCTTAAGGAAAAGCACCTCTTTTCTGCCACTTGTACCGATGGTCGTGGATAATAAAGTGAAGATGTGGCATAAAGAAGTAATGGTTGTAGTGAAACGGCTGTTCAGGCGCTCAGCTGGCAAAATGTTTTTGTTGCGCAATTACTTGAACATTTCGTTGACTGTAGTTTGGCCTCAAATAGAGGGGAAGAAAGCAAGCGGCCCAGGCGGCGCCGGACCCAGCGATCGAAGCAGCTGATTTGATTTGNCGTGGATAATAAAGTGAAGATGTGGCATAAAGAAGTAATGGTTGTAGTGAAACGGCTGTTCAGGCGCTCAGCTGGCAAAATGTTTTTGTTGCGCAATTACTTGAACATTTCGTTGACTGTAGTTTGGCCTCAAATAGAGGGGAAGAAAGCAAGCGGCCCAGGCGGCGCCGGACCCAGCGATCGAAGCAGCTGATTTGATTTGTTGACACCAAAATATGAATCAGAAAAAAAATATACAGCTGGCAGGTGCTTTTCACTGACGACGTACTGCCTGTTTGAAAAAAAAAGTAGAGCAGCTGTCAGATGCTGCCAACTTTGACTAATTGGTGCTAATTTATTATCTTCGCTTCTTTCAGGTTCAATTAGCAACATGTACACGCCTAGATGGAACATCAGCATTCACCTGAAGCTGTACTACGACCAGTCACTGCTGGCCTTCTTCGGCGGAGACCACCAGGCGGTGAAGGACTTTCTGCTGGCGAACGCCCACTCAGTGGCACTCTCCTACAACAACCCACCGCTGGGGCAGCTGGCACTGTGGAGCTTTGTGATACACGGCGTGGAGATGGTCGATGAGAAGGTGGTGAAGATGCCCGATGACCGCAATGGAAACATGTACCGAAAACGATTTTACGAGCACTATCGCGATCAGATGCCAGTCAACCACGTCGCACTGGTCATCTTCACCTTTACGAACTTTCAGTACACCGACAGGACAGAGACGCAAGGTGAGAGTTAGGGGCTTGTTTGTGGTAATGGTAGTAATGCTGTTAATCACGATGCACAGGCCTGGCCATGACGGGCAGTGCTTGCAAGTCCACCGCTGACCGAGGTGTGATCATCCAGGCTCGCTCCTTCAAAACCGCCTTTGTCCTGGCCCATGAGATTGGCCACAGTCTGGGCCTGACGCACGATGAGGAGGTCGGCTGTGGAAGCAAGTACATCATGTCGGCCAGCACTGGACAAGGCAAGGCGAGGTTCTCCAGGTGCAGCTACGACTATCTCAATCTAAAGTTTACTACCATCTTCGATGAAACACTGAGGTTAGAGGTCTGGAAGTTTAAAGTCTCACATTGNGGGCAAGGCGAGGTTCTCCCGGTGCAGCTACGACTATCTCAATCAAAAGTTTACCACCATCTTCGATGAGACACTGAGGTTAGAGGTCTGGAAGTTTAATGTCTCCATTGCAAATTAGTCCTTCCATTCTTTACAGTTCTAAATCGGACATGGATATCTTTCTCTGCTTTCAGGCGCTATCCGACAAGCTGCCTAGTGTGCAGTACATATTTCCCAACGACCTCGACCAGTCCTTCAAATCGGTGCCCCTGCGAAGGCAGTGTAGCGTTGGCCTGGGGGATGTGTTCACCTATCTCGAGTCAAGCTCGCCTTTGAACATTTGCACTCGAGTTGCCTGCACCAACGGCCTGATTCAGATGTTCACCAACACGGCCCTGGAGAACACCACTTGTGGTGGGGAGGGAAAGTACTGCCGTGCTGGCAAGTGTCGATGATTTGAATTAAAATGTTTGTGAGCAGGTTTGAATAATAAATGATCCTATTCGAGAAATTTATTTGGATAAAAGCGCAGTCCTTGAACACTGGCATCGCGGCAGATGAGGCCAAAGTTCTCCGAATCGAGAAGTCTCTGCCGTGCAAGCGCCACCGAGACGCCAATTTTGACCGCCAACTCTTGCGCTGACGTTGACTCCACTTCGTTGAACAGGTCCAAAATTTGATTGTTGATGGTGTTTTGATCGAAATCATCACATTGCAGGACTACTAAGCCGCTGCTGTACTTGACCACCTTCAGGCCAAGGTTTTGCTTTTCTAGCGTGGAACATGCGTTTAAGAGATCGTCCGGAGAAATTAGCTCAAAACCGCGAGCCCGATTAATTGCACAGTAAACCTCGGGGAGGGCAATTTGTCCGCCTCTGTCTTTTGCAAGCGGTTTGATGAGCTTGTGTATCTGCTTTCCCAAGTCATTGTAGTACTTGTTATCACTGTTGTACTTGCTTCGCTTCACCGGGTCCTCGTCAAAGTCCTCATTGACGCCCAAACTTAAGAGGTACGACTTGAAGAGCACCGCTTCGTCTGAAGATATTTCAGTGCCCTTCTCTTTTAATTTCTCTTTGATGTTCTTCGAAATGCCCACCATGTCCTGACAGAGGTTGATCAGGTTCCGCAGGTCCTGGAATCCACTGCTGATATTGCGATCTGTCTGTTCATGCTGTGCCTGGATCTTCTTCTCAATGCTGACGATGCCCAGTTGGCGCGGTTGCTGGCGATTCATGATTCAGTGGACTGCATCAATCAAGGCACCTAAGTAGAAAAACTTAAAATAATAAAAGCTTTTGCAGATGACAAATCAGTGCAGAAATATAAACACCAAAAACTTAATGTTTTCGCCAGCTGTTGTTCATAAAGGGTGTACCGAAGGCAATGTGATTCACTGGATCGGCCTGGCCAGTATTGAGCGCATTCTCTTCGTTCAACTTTGAACTGGTCACCTGGTGACCAACGGATTTGTTTACCTTTCGCTCTATTTCAGATGCAACAGCATCTCGGGATTGAAGATGAGCAAACTAAAGCAACTTAGAACTCGTTGCTTCTTTGATGTCTCCATCGCTGAAGACATTAGTAAGTGCTTTTTCTTAACTCACTGAAGCATGTTTTCATTGCTTGTTTTTCTCTAGTTGGACGGGTTATTTTTGAATTGTACAACGATGTCTGTCCCAAGACTTGTGAAAACTTCAAGGCTTTGTGCACTGGTAAGCACTGTGGTTCATTAATCGGAATGCTCTTATTTATCATCTGCTTTGGTTTGTTGATCAGGCGAAAAGGGTAATGGCAAAGTTACCGGCAAGCCACTGCACTACAAGAATGTCTTGTTTCATCGAGTTGTAAAGACATTCATCATCCAGAGTGGAGATTTCTCCCTTGGAAACGGAAGAGGTGGTGAAAGTATCTATGGAGGAACTTTTGAAGGTAATTCCAATGAACTTCCAATGAATGGCTTCATTACTGATATTTTGTTTTTTTCTAGATGAATCATTTGACATAAAGCACACGGAACCATTTATGCTGTCAATGGCCAACAGGGGGAAAAATACAAACGGGTCACAGTTTTTCATGTATGTTTTTAAAGGATCAAATTGCAGTGTTGTTTCAACTAAAGTTGATTTTTTTCATTTCAGCACCCTGGCACCGGCACCTCATTTAGACGGGTAATTTGCATTACAGTACTTTGTATCATCTGCGAAATCTAACCGATTAATTTTGTTTTCAGAGTCCACGTTGTTTTTGGCCACGTAATATCTGGACAAGAAGTGATTCAGAAAATTGCGAATCAGGCTGTTGACAAAGACTCGAAACCTTTTGTTGATATTCGGATTGCAAACTGCGGCGAGCTGATACCGCAGATCAAGCCGAAAGGTAATTTTTAGCTATTGAGAACTTGGGGCACAGTTTTTATACTCAAATCATTTTAGATAATAACAAAAAGAAGTCCAAAAAAGTTTCGGACAGCGGAAGTAGCAGCTCTGATAGCAGTAGCGATGATAGCAGCAGTGGTAGCGACTCAGAGAGCGGCTCTTCGAGTGATGATGGAGATAGCCGTAGGAAGAAAAAGATTGGAGGGGATGAAGACGCAAAAGAAAATGAGTCGACTGCAAAGAATGGCCGGCTTGCCGTTCCCATAAGCGACCTACCGTAAGAATCTAAATGTCCACTTCAGGAGTTGTTTACTGACTGTTCTGTTCTTGTTTCAGCAATGCTCCCAAAATATACAATAACATCAAGGCGGACGAGATTCCTGAAGTACCACAAAACCGATTCCTGGCGAGAACTTTTAAGCCCAAGGAGGAAAACAACAAAAACGGCGATACAACAGGAAAAGAAGTAGAGAGTAGAGATAAAGACCGAGATAGAGAAAGGGAACGAAATCGAGGGAGAAGTTTAAGAATCTCCTACACCAAATCAGGCAGAAAGGTCAAGGGCCGCGGCTCTTTGGTAAGTAAATCCGTGGCTAATATCAAATCATAGTATTGACGATCAAATTCTTAATTCAGAGATTCCGAACACCTTCTCCAGATCGTGGCAGGGACAGAGACCGTGGACGCTTCAGACGCAGCGAGACGCCTCCTCATTGGAAGGCCGCTCAGTCTAGGGTGAAGCCACTCAAAGAGGTTATTTCCAAGCCAACTGAGCAAAAGAAAAATGGAGATGAAGTCCCTCGAAGCAGCAGAGCCAGCTTTGATGACCGCTCTCGAGAAAGACATCGTCGAAGCCGAAGCCGCTCCGGTTCACGAGAACGTCACGACAGCTCAAAACGGTCAGGTTCGCGAGAGCGTCGCAACAGTTCAAGACGATCTGGTTCGCGAGAACGTCGCAACAATTCCAGACGACACAGCCGATCGCCGAAGCCGAATGACAGTCAAAAATGGACACGAAAGCGTTCTCGCAGTCGCTCCTCAAGTCGAGAACCTGAAAAGGAGGGCGTCTCTGACCGAAGGAAGGAGCGAAAGAGCGAAATTTGTATTGTACCGGAGAAACGAGAGCACGAGAAGCGCGAGGTGAATCCGCACAAGCGATCACTTGAAGTTCGAGACACGATTGAAGAATAATTATTACTCAAACTGAAAATGGTCAGTGTCGTAGTAGGAGTAGTTCCACTGACCTCCCATTCTTTTCACACTCCTTTCGATGTACTATTTTTCATCCCTTTTTTGAAATCATAAGATTAATAATTTTTTTCGATCACAAGGTAGTAAAAGCAGAGAACTGTTTTTTCGTCATTTTGTTCGTGTCGAAACTAGAGCTCCCTCAGGTGAATTCAGTCGGCACCATTTCGCCCTGTGTTTACAGTGTTGTGTTTTGCTTTGCTGACAAGTCGTGTTTCACCCGAATTTCCTTCGAGCAGTTAGTCACTGCTTATTCTGCATATTCTCTGCCTCTCAGTCTCACCTGGGAGGGAGAGCACTGCTCACGAATCGATGGCACTGGTCACGAACACAGTCACTAGTCGTCGTTGTCGCAGCAGCAGCCGCTTCTCTTCAGCCACACAACGCCCGAAATGAGTCGTCAATGGCAGTGAGGGCGCCTTCCCTTCCCTTCCCTTTCTCTGTTTCTCACCTTGTCTCACCAATTCGCTCGTTTCGGGTTGCGGGCTTCACTTGTTCTGGTCTGGAGGAAGACGAAGAGACGCTCAATCCTGTGGTGAACCGACCAATGCCACCGCCATCGTCGCCAGCAACAACAAATACAACATTGACAGCAGCGCAGAAGACCTTGGTGCTGCGAACGCCTTGAATAGCCTGAGCACTTTCTTTTCTCATGCAGCAGTTCTTCTTTCCTTGAGTTTCACCGGGGAGAGAGAAAGAGAGAAAAAGTGGCCGAAATTATATCTCCCACCCATCTGGCACTTTGGCGCTTCACTTTCGAATTCTGTCCAGTCTGACTGACTGACTTTCCGCTGAACAACTGCTATTATTTATTTACTCAAAGTTGACGTTGCTGTCTGGTGCTCACTTGCTCACTCACTCACTCTAGTCAGCCAGTTCGAGTTACGAACTCTCTTGGTGATGTGGTGGCGGTGGCGTTGGTGCTTCAACTCTGGTCGCTCCTCTTTGCCTTCTCTGGTTGCCTGATTTATACCCATCAGTTCACCTGAATTAAAGCTCTTCAAGTTAATCAAGTGATTCACACGGATTACATTGTTCCAAAATGTCCAACAATATAGTGCCGATTGGTGAAAACAGATCTCAGAAACCCTCAAGTGAGTGTGTCGACTTTTGTCTCCTGTCACTCGCCTTTTGCTTATCTCTCTCCCTCTTTTCTAATGGTCCATACAGATAGTGCTTTTAAGCAACAAAAGCTCTCTGCATGGCAACCGATACTTACGGCGGGAACGGTGCTGCCCACATTCTTCCTCATCGGTGTTGCCTTTATTCCCGTTGGAATTGGATTGTTGATCTCCTCGTATCAGGTATTGTTTGTTTGTTTTCAGTTTAAGTAATTTTTATAGAAAACTAATACATACTTTTAATCTTAGGTGAAAGAACATGAAGTCGACTACACGTCATGTGAAAAGTACGATGAAAACAGTACTCAAACGGTGCTTTGCTCAGAGTTTATCGAGAGGAATCCAAACAGTGACTGCAAATGTGTCATTAACTTTACCCTGCCGAATGATATAAAGAGGGATGTTTTTATCTACTATGGACTTCTCAACTTTTACCAAAATCATCGACGTTACGTGAAATCCAGATCAGACAATCAACTAATAGGCAATGTATTCAATGAGCGCAACTGTGAGCCCTTTCAGAAGCGACTAGATCCGACTGATAATCAGATGAAGACAATCATGCCATGTGGAGCAATCGCAAACAGCATCTTCAATGATACGTTCCTTTTGAAACTGTTAGCAAAGAAAGAAAATGAAAATCGCTGGTTTGAGGTACCCTTCGAGAAGACGGGCATTGCATGGGCAACTGACAAGAAAAACAAGTTCCGCAATCCTTCCCTCAGCCCCGGCCAGTCTTTGGCGCAAGCATTCAACAACACCGTACAGCCGGCCAACTGGCACAAGCCTATCTACGAGCTTGACACCGGTGAACCGAAAAACAATGGCCTTCAGAATGAGGGCCTTATTGTTTGGATGAGGACGGCGGCATTTCCCACCTTTCGAAAGGTGCTGGCACGCATTGCACACGACAAGCGCGACAGCTTTGACGTTGACTACCAGAATGGCCTACCAAAGGGATTCTATCAGCTTACCATTGATTACAGTAAATATTTTCAAACAACCTGATTGTTTTACTCTGAATTGTAACACTTTTTTACACTTTGTCATTTAGGATTTCCTGTTGCGGCATTTAAAGGCAAGAAGCGGTTCATCATTTCGAACACTTCTTGGCTTGGTGGGAGGAATCCCTTTATCGGTGCGGTCTACATTTTTGTGGGAATATCATCGCTTATTCTGTCGGCAGTATTTCTTATCATCCATCGAAAGTTTAATAAAAAGTAAGTCAAATGGTTGTTGATTTGCCCGTTTTAACAACTTCTATTTTGGTTCAACTAGCTCGACTGACAATATGAACATCACCTCGCAAACGGCATTCATCGCCAACAGTTAATATGCAGGCTGCTTGTAATATAAAGAAAAAATGTACAAAAACTTGTCTGGAAACGCTTCGACAAAAAGCTTTACTTAACTTACCAATGTGGCCACAAGTCACTGCTTCCGTTGTTTTTGGTGTGCTTCGCCTGACCCGGCACTTCTACTTCTGGTCACTTTTCTGGTTCTGACGCCTGTTTGACCCCATCCTCTGTTGACCAACCACTGACAATGTTGTTCATTCCTGTTGTATTTGTTCCAATATATTTTATTATTTATAATGAATAAATCAAAATGCTCGTTTGTTGATCTGTTAATTCTGAATTCTGGTTCTTGATTCTCTCGGTTTCTCTTTCGAAAAAATAGCCGTCAGTCGATCAGACTGTTCTCTTGATAGTGAATATAGTCGGCGATTAAATCGACACGTAAATATACAAACACAGTCGCAGTTACACACTGGTGACAGTTTGAAGATGCACTAGGGTGACATCGGAAGTGCAATCGAGAGAACTGGATCGTGATCGTCACCCCCTTCCCCTTCAGAACGTCACCACCAGCTCACGCCTACTATCTGCGACTATCTGAGAATGTCAGCGATTGTCAGTTGGCCTTGCAGTGTGTGTACGTCCACTTCCAATGTCAAGGTATGCTGCTTTTCTCTTCCTAACTGTTAATGATTGGAAATATTTTTCCGTGATACTATCAGCTTTGTTATTACGGCATGCCAATTTGCAGTAGCATATTTGTGCATCGTATATCAAGGCCGCCAGCTTCTTTATTTTGTTGTTGTTGCTGCTGCTGAACACACTGCCTTACTGCCTTCTGTTTGGGCGTGATTAGTGTTGGGATTTAGTAATGTGCTCCCGATTAGGAGTAGCGCGTAATTAGTACTTTTCTTGCGTGCATTGCAGCGCCTGATCTGTTGCCTACCATTGACCCTCGACGCAATCACCGGTTTAGATTTTTAAGATTATTTCCCAAAATACTTTAATCGATGCAATTTTGTACACTTCTTGTTCACAGCGCCGGATAACGGGACTGTAACTGTTTAATGTACTCTTCTGTTGACAGAGCCGGGACAACGAATGTGATAGGAGCAACCATCAGCAGTCATCGGCAAAGATTAGCGCCAATGTTCCCCTGAACGCTGAAGGTTTTCCCTCCGGTTTCTGCTTCATATTTGACTGTCAAAAGTGTATGATTGCAAACAGAGTAGGTGCGTGTGAAGATGCAACTACCAGCAACAGCATCCTCACTGGTTCAAGTTTCAGCTGTGAATGCATGCACTTTAATTTGAGCACGGCTGCAAATGTCACCATGTACCGGCGTCAATCAGCTGCTACTGCTGCAGCTATACGCTAGACAGCTGCTGCTGATGATGATTGAACAGATCAATTGCCTTCTATTTACCAATTCGCCTACACGTCATCCACTTTCACGTGTCGTGTACTCTCTGCAACCCTTTCCAGTGGTACCGTACACTAAACTCTTCTTCACTGGAAATCAGGGGCAAATCCTGTTCAACGAAACGATTTGTAGTGGTTTGGTGTACAGCTGCCTGACTGACTGACTACTGTGTGCCGCTAAATCTTCTCTGTGAAAGTAGTCTAAGTAGCAGTTTTTCTTCTTCTTCTCAGTGCGGATGCTGACGCCGGCTACGGTGCCGGTGATGCTACTGCACTCATTGTGCCATCCGCATTGTCATCGTTCAATTGCTATGCACAACAACTGCCAACTGCGACCACGACCAGCACAGCCGTTGCAACAGCGGAATGCTCCTGAACGATCCTCCGTCACTCGGTGGCACTAGCACCCATTCTTCCATCCGCTTTACAGCAACCACAGCCATCACCTGTTTGCACAGTCAAACAGTTGGTACCGCACTGAGCATATAAAGCGGTCATTCGTCTCACAGTGACACCGGTTTTCCAGTGTCCCCAGAAGTCCTACCACTGCTGTGTATGTGCTTCTGCTGCTGTCAAACGTCTGCTGTCCAACTGTTAGCTGTGTGTCTCGTGTTGCTTTGATTTTCCCTTTTCATTTTCCTATTTCTGAACTTGTGTATGTGATTTTTTCTTCTTCTGCCTCTGCTGTTTGGCCATATCGCTCAACCACTGCCAGATTTGCCGCTCATCACTGTTGCTAATTTCGCCCTCCACCCGAAGGTGAGTTGGTCAAAACACACACTCTTGAAGTTTGTCACGCTCCCACTTTTCATGCAAATGCGATTAGATTGCTGCGAGCACTCTAAGTGCGCCTCCACACTCCCTCTCTCTTTGCTTCTCTTTACTCCGTTTTCTCTTGATCATGCTAATGAATGGGTGTCGAAGTGGAAAGATAAAGAGACAGTGAAAATTATTAGTCACTAATAATGCTGTGATGATGATGGTGGTTGCTACTCTTATACTCTGTGAACGATAATTGCCTGCAGTTCGGCGGCGATTAATCTGTGCACAGGAGGCACGTATACCCACTTCGGCGATGCATGATGAAATGCTCTCCTTTGTCTGTTTTTCTTTATCGCAGACATTGAACATACACTTGCAACCGATGAGACAGATACTTCACTGTTAACTGTTAACTGTGTGCTCTTATCGGTGATTTGTAATCAACGGTAGTTCAGTGACAGCCCTCAAGACTACTAACCACCACCACCACCGGCGAAACATGGCGCCATGCCTCGAATACAACTTTTGCACTGCATTTGCACAGGGCACACACACACACTTCAATGGCCACGATTGTCGAATGGATGAATGAACATCGACGTCTTCGTAGTCCACTTGAAAACTCGGCGAGAGTTGTTGGCAGACACTGTCAGACACTGACACTGACAGCGTCGTTCCAGTTTGACAGCATCACTGGAGAGCGGCAACAACAGCAGCAACACTCTGGAGACTCTCCCTTTTTCGCTGATTATTTGGGTCAGTTTCCCCTTGCCCGTTATTGTTGTTGCTTCTTCTTCTGCTGCTGCCTGAGACCTGTTGTTCTCCTGCCTGATGGTGGTGGTGCACCTTTCCCTCTCCCCAGTTCAGTTCAGGCGAGGCGTTTTGCCATTTTGACTTGTGATCTTTCTGCCCTCTGAGACACACAGTCATTCAGTCACTCAGACAGACAGACACTCAGAGTCTAACAGAAGTTGACGGCAGACGAATATGCACTCGTCTCGCCCACTGAACGGCGGCTTAGCCAGCAGCACTGCCGTTATGAGAGCCAGTTTAACAGTGGCAGCTTTTGCACNAGACAGACAGACACTCAGAGTCTAACAGAAGTTGACGGCAGACGAATATGCACTCGTCTCGCCCACTGAACGGCGGCTTAGCCAGCAGCACTGCCGTTATGAGAGCCAGTTTAACAGTGGCAGCTTTTGCACAGTATGTGTGAGGTGAATGACGGCCGTCAGTGGAAGCACCGCCGCCGCCATCATCTCTTGGGAGATTCAGACCGAGAAAAGTAGCTAGTCAGACAGAGCTAGTCAGTTGAACAGACAGTTAGTTAGAGTGTGTCGACGACAGGCAAACAGAACGGTCTCCAACACTCACTACTACTTATCGATCACCCTCTTGGACCACTTTTCACGTTTCTGCTATACACTTTCCTTGAACCCTTGACGTGGCTTCCCCTTCCTTTCACTTGTTTGTACTTGATTTCCACCACCTGCTTTTTCTTCGCTCAACACTTGTGCATTCTGTTTATTCATTTTGTTTACCACCTCGCACTCACACACACAGGTAACACTTGAAGATGATTCAGAAGGACAACATTCGCCTTGAGCTGGCCAAGTTCGGCCAGGAACACCTGCTCAACTTCTTCGATGAGCTGAGCAATGAGGAGAAAGAGCACCTTCTGCAGGACATTGCCAACGTCGACCTGGCCGAGGTGACGGGAGCGTTCGCTCGTTCCAACCCCAAGAATGAAAGTGTCGCCGCTGCGGAGACCATCGACGACCTGCTGGAGCCACTGCATCCGGATATCCACCAGAGCTATGCTCGCACTTCCCCAAAAGAGTTGCAGCAGTATCGCAGCATCGGTAAGCATTGTTCTCATATTTCTTTTGTGTTTTTGTTTTCACTTCCGCATTTGCTCGCCTTGCTAATGGATGCCTTTTTCTTTTGCATAGGACTTAAGAAGATTTCCGAGGGCAAAGTTGCTGCATTGCTGCTGGCCGGCGGCCAGGGCACCCGCCTGGGCTCTCCCAATCCAAAGGGAATGTACGACGTCGGCTTGCCCTCTCACAAGACGCTCTTTCAAATTCAGGCTGAACGCATCCTCAGGTTGCAGGAGCTC